AGAGCGTGATCATTTTGGGCAAGCGATTTTATAAACAAAAGATATATAGTATATATATATATATTAAAAAAATTGAAAATAAAGATATTTTAATGTCATATGTAAACAAAAAAACTAATATTTTTTTGTTTTGTTTTAATATCGCTGATTCAAAAATGTGTTTTCATAAATATAAGAGTAAAAAGAGATTTGTCAGGAGTCCTATATTTAGAAAATAACTAACAAAATATGTGAGAAGTCTTGTCAATGGAAAAGTAATAACAAGAGAATGTTAGGTGTTTTGCTATTAAAAAAAATAATAACATGAGTTGTACGAAGCCTTGTTATTAGAAAAATACTGGATCAAATTACTCCAAAAACAGCAGACATTTCTTTTTCCAGGTTTTTGGGTATCAAATAAAAATTTTTTATTTAAAATTTGCATGAAAGTTTTTAACTTAATGAAAAAAAAATTTCAAAAACTTTTTATGAAATCGTTATTGCAAATTTTTTATTGTATTCGAACGAATTTCAGCACTTATTCGATTCGGGGGTGACCGTGAAAAACTTTTGACGCCGGTGATAAAGTGTGGTAAAAGGTATTGTGATAAATGGTGCTGTGATAAATGGTATTGTGATAAATGCTGCTGGTTTATGATAATGGGTTTAATATTTTATAGGTTTAATATATATTGCGGTTATATTTAATATCTAGTATTATACTTTCATTTTATTTGATTAATTTATAAGTACTTGAAATTTAATTTTATTGGTTACTAGAGAGTAATACAAGTTATAAGTAATTTTCGTTACTCCTTGCAGTTGAGTCTTTAGATAGTTTTTAAAACTATGCAAACCTTAACTAACAGCCTAAAAAAGACTAATAATTTTTTTTATCAATAATTAATTAAGTTTAAGAAAAAATATTTTTTTCAAAAATTTTGTTTTGAAAACTTGATTAAAATTTAAGTATATTTTATTAAAGCAAGGCGTTATGAAACCATTTTAATTTGGCGCAGTTATATAATTTAAGGTGTTGTGTTTCTAGACTTATTATTAGTCCATCGTTTTAGCCAATCACCTATTTTATTAGACAGACCATTTCAATTAAAAATATGTTTATTTTGACGTCTAAAAATACGCATCATAATCATTGTTGTTATTTAGTTCAATTTAATTTACATATTGTAATGCGCACATTTAAGCATACTCCTAATGTGAAAGTCATAACTGATTGATAACTGATTGATAAATGATTAATACTATTTTGTTCTTGCCAAATATTTTTTAAAAATTTTCATAGTTAACAATTACATCTATATCATTTACTCATAGTTAAGCTGCACAATTTCATCGTATTTGATTCAGTTGTTTTCTTAAAAACAAGGCTTAGAAAAAAAATCCTCTAATATTTTTTTTTATCACCCAACACTGTAAGGAATAACAATATTTCATTCATAATAAGTTAGTTTTGATTTCTGATTGAAATAAGCATTGTGGGAGGGTATATTTAAATTCATTTTGTAATTAAAAAAAACTTCATCGTTATCACATTTTATTATAAACCATCCGACTTATTTTTAGAATGAAAAAAAAAAAGATTCCCATAAACATTACAACGAAAAACAAACACAGTTATTGTCAGTACTTAGAATATACAGTATAATATTGATATAAAAATATAAGTACATATATCACTAGCATGATTTCTGTTTTAGAATTATGAAAGAATTTATAAATTCCATGTGGTAACAGAGAAAAGGAACTTAATTTAAATAAATGTATCAGATATTCCTGTTACTCTACTACTGTATATGCATTCTATAGGGATTTTTCCGTTTGTGGAAAAAACACTGAAATTTATAATGGATAAATTTTTTTCCCCACAGATAAAAACTTAGAAATAAGCTGATAATAAATTAATATGCTGATATTAAATTAATAATAGCTGAATATAAATTATAACTATTTATTCATTTATAGTTGAAATCTACTGAATATTTTTTACTTAATCATTTTTTTATTGCTGCTTTCTAACATTGCATGTGTGTGGATAACCTGAGTGGCTGGTCCACGCGTGACGTTGCTTGCAAGTATCTAACAATTAAAGTGCATTCAAACAACAACATATTTCAAACGCCTCATCATATAATATTTCACACAATATCATCAAAATTATATAAACATATTCTAACAGTTCAGAAACAAAACATACGTTATACATTGATTTTCAAATTGTATTTTTAAACTTAAGCAAAGCGTTTTTTTGTGTGAATATAAACAACAACGTATTAAAGAGTACTTTTTTTATGGAAAATATATCAACAAGTTATATAAATATATTTAAACTGTTTATTTTAAATGTGTATTTTTAATGTAAATCCTCTTTTTTCTCTCGTGTCCCAAACTGCCACAATTTTAAGAACCTCATCCTATCCCTCTAAGCGTGACATCATTTATGAACGGTCCCAGTGACTGGAGAATCTGAAATATTCAAATATGTTGTTTTCTTACAAGGTGATAGTCTAGAGTTGCATATTGTTCAGATTTCAGTTAATACTCGATGATCTGCACTATTGTTACATAACTATTTTGTCTATGTATATTTTAACCCCGATTTGCAACATTATGGCATATAAATGAATACATTCGAGATTATTTTAGATACTCGACGCGATAGAAGAAAAGAATTCATTCATGAATTTGTACACTTTAGTTTGCATAGTTGTCACGATAAAACCTTTTTTTTCTCTATGACATTACAATGAGAAAAATAGATGTATAGAAAGCGTGTCGCGTCGTCACGAAACATGCCATAGAAATACAGACTCTTTTTTAAAAAAAATGTTTATATTTAATAATTATTTTTAAAGGTCACGACATAATTGACTAACGATTACAATTTTAAAATCGTTAAGTTGTGTACATCCAAACTAACAAGAACTCGTCAAGAAAAAAAAAGTTTGTTTTTAGTTGCTTCTGAAACGTTAGAATTGTTCTTAATTCTTTTTTTAAAATTTCATGAATTTTCTTGGAATTATTGGTTTGTCTTTATGTATTAGATTCCTCTGTTTACATTGTGGCACACTCCTAGCTGTCGAGCAGGAATTTTTTTTGCTACAGTTTTCATATTTATAATGTTCGACGTACACCAAAACTTTAGGTAACATATCCGATAAGAGTATGATCAGTATTATATACATTTAATTAAATTTTGACATTTTTTTTATTAAAAAAATAGAAATGGCAAGAAAATTGTTCCACTATTAGTAAAAAAAATATTTAGGAAATTAAGTCATAAAATATATGTCGTTATAAGCTTACAGAATCGTTTGAGTTATCGTTACAGAATCGTTTGAGTTATAAGCTTACAGAAACAATTCATTTAAAATAAATTATCGTTGCGTTTCAAAAGTTTGCTTGTATTTAAGTATTTGTATTTTGTTGAAAATAGTTTTTCGTAATTTCAGAAAGAAACATATTCAAGTACAATTTACAGAAACAAACTTTATAATACTATCGCAAAAACAATTGCTTCGTTATAATCTTAAAAATTTTAATTTCTTTTTGGCCGATTTACATTAGATGTAAATTTAACTAATTTTACCAACTGAAGTAAATTGATCCTTTATTTTTTCCGAAAGAAATTTTAAAAGTTCCACCTTCGTGTGTCAGTTTGTTACAAATAATTTTTTCCAAATTTTAAAATATGATTTAGATAACAATAAATATTTATAATTGTTGAGTTAATTCAAATTTAAAATAGGACAAATCAAATCTGATACATTCATTCTTAATTCTGAAACTTGGAAATAGAAAAAAAATTAAAATGATGTCGGATGATTTATAAATTGGTCAATAAGGAAAACTTTACGCTTAAGATAGATATAAATCACTTCGTAATAAATATGATGTTATCATAAATAGCTTTAGTTCTAAGCAATAATGAACAAAATAAATTTGTTAAAAATTGAAGCTTGAAAAAACTCCCACAAAAGCGTTTAATGTGATTTAAAGCTCGATTTCATTAAAAATTTGAGTGATACAGAAAGTTAAGAATATTTTCTACGTTTTTTACGTTGTTTTTTTTAAAGCCATTGCCTCCTAATATTAAAATGCAGGAAAACTCAGCTTTAATGTTTTATGAAATGTACAAAATTAATTTCAAATTTTGCAAAGCTCACATATTATGGCTAAATTATATGATCTAAAAATATCCTGATTCAACAACATAACTTTCTTGACGGAAAAATCTCATATTTATTTAATCGTTTGCCTTAAAAATGGTGTTTTTTTTTTTTTTTTTAAACTTTCTTTTTCAACAAGACGCATTTATTAAATCGTTAGCTCAAAAAACTGTGTTCTTTTTTTTTAAACGTTTGCTTAATCGTTTTAAATCGTTTGCTTAAAATACTGTGTTCTTATTCTTACTGAAAGTGTAGTCTCTATAACAAAACGAAGTATATTATGCTCTTTTAGAGTTTTGAATTATTCTGCAGAGAAAAATGGAAAGCTGAGAAAAATGGAAGTTTAAACATGCTTTATATTGAAAACATGAATTCAAATATTCCACACATTTTAACATTGGGAGACGACAACCTTAAACTCAAGTAGCAAATGTAAAATATTTGCGAGCTACAAATACGCATCTATAAATTCCTTTTCGCAAAATATACAATATGAATTGCTTCACCGAAAATATGTTCCCAATGTTACACTCCAATGTAAAATCTGGTTTAGGTTGAAACACTATAAAACAATACATTAGAATGAAAAGACAAACATGCAAAGGGGATGCCAAACTTTTCGTAAATTCGAACTTAATTAAATATATATGGTAAAACATCGGTAAATATTTAGGGTCATTTAAAAAAAAACAAGCTTTGTTTGCGTGATTCCAAAATACGTACATTTTATTGAGAAGCATTCAATTAAAATTATTCTCGTTCATAAATATTTTAAAAATATTTATTGTTTTTTGGAATTTAATGTAAAATTAATCTTATTTTATTCTGAATGATATTTCATAAAAATTGATCAAATTTAAAAAAAAAAATAAACTGTTAGCAACTAGAGTTGATAAGAGTTCCTTTGAAATTTATCACAATTCTTTCTTTTTGAACGTTTCAAGTGGCAAAATGGCCGGCAGTTTTCAAGTAATAACGATTTCTAGTTACTTTCAAATCACTATAATTGAAATATAGTAGGAATATTTACAGGAGGAGATTTTGCCTATTGAGACGTTTGATAACAATTATAAAGATGCACTAGACAAAATTGTTTGTTTAATTTCCGTGCTGTTAGTTCAATCTTAATTCGTACTAATAATGTTCTACAATAGTTCGAAAGCTAGGAAGTAAGACGTTAGGGCATTTATATCTGAATCTAATTTCATGCTTTAACAAAAACAATATCAAAAATATTTTTTAGAAACGCAAATTCCAGCATTTTAATACAAGTTTTTCACGAAAAATTGTCACTAAAATCTGTTGTTAGTACGAAGGATGTCTATGTGCTGTTGTCTAATAAAATCGAACAAAAACGTATTAAAAATCAAACAGATAATGTAGTTAAAAGATGTAGATTCGGAACTATAAAAGTCTACCTATAATACAATAAGTTGAACCATCATCTGTTTCATCTCGGCACATCATCGCAATCATCTCGGCACAGATGATGATACTTGTTATAGTAGCGGGGTGATAATACTGCCAATTACTTTATTTGTGCTTTTGTACGTTATTGGTTTATTTTATAACAAATGTTAACACAACGTTCAATTTAGTGACGCGTTGGTCAAGAGTTTTCAGTGATCATCTGCAACTTTCTTTGTCCCAGTGAAAAAGATATTATTCGAAGTTGGAAAAAAATTTACCTCAAACAAGTAGATCTGGATAATTGCAACAATGCGACACAAAAATATTGTATTTTTTCAATTAAATATTTATCTCTTTCATTTTAAGCAAAAAAGGAAGTTATTAAGGCTAAGTTGGCATCCCCCCCAGGGAAAGGAATTATGGGATCGAAGATTGAAGTGTAGCTGAATCGTCTTCAATGAAAGTAGGTATATGTATATGACGAATGAGGGAAGCGACGCCATCGTCGTTCAAGGTACACCGACACAGTATCTTCTTGAAGGCAAACCTGAAGTCCTTGCTTATAATTCCGTAGATGATGGGATTTAAGGCCGAGTTGCAATAGCCCAGGTAGAAAAACACTTTGAACAGCAAATCAGGAATGCAAGTTTCACAGAAACCCATGATGAGGTATATGGTGAAAAAGGGAAGCCAGCAGAGAATGAACCCTCCCACAATGATCCCGACAGTTTTTGTGGCTTTGGCTTCGGTTTTAAACCGCTTGGCGTGCCAACGAGCATTTCTCTTGCTTTTTGTGAATGGACTATTGCGACCATTGCTTTGCTGCTCGCCAACTCCACTGACAGTCAAGTGATCTTGTGACGTGGAGGGCTTTTCGTGATCGAACGTGAATTTGGTGGTGGTCACTGTCGCAGACTTAGTCCTTCTAATTCGATCTTTAAATTGCGAGGATGGAGAGTCAGTGTTTTCAGGAGCTGCCTCGGTGTGGTAGTGCCTGTCATCTCTGAAACAGCGTGGACTGCTGCAATCTTTAGTGTGATGATATACGACTGTTGGAATGCGTCTAGGAACCAAGATATCTCCAGACCTTCGGTTCGTTGACGCATTTTTGCTACTACGTGAGGAACACATGGATTCGTTTGTTGGTCTCCCCCTATGTATACGAAGGGTCACGTCTGATCCCTCCTGTTCTTGACCAGTCGACCCTTTTGATTTGCTCGATTTAGCCGTGCGAAAGCCTCGATCTAAGGCGCGGCTTGTTTTGAGTGCTACTACGTATATTCGATAGTAAAAAAACAGCATGACTAGCATAGGAATATAGAATGAGCCTAGAGCTGAATAGATGACATATCCTTGGTTGGTGATGAGAGCGCACTGAGGTTTGAGGCAACGTCTTCTGGGTGCGTTACGGATCACGAACCGAACATCGCCACCGGTGGAATTGTAATCATCGGTGAAGTTGCTGGTCAGAATGTCATCGAATGTTCTGTTGCTTTCTAGAAAGATAGTCGAGTTGTCGTATAAAGAAGTCAACTCCTCGTCGTCTTTCACTCGATCGTTCCATCCAACGAGGGGTGGAAAACATATAATAAACGAGAGGACCCAAACGGAAGCTATGAGGAGCTTAACTCGGACAGTTGACATGATAGCCCTATAATGCACGGGTCGGGTGATTGCTAAATACCTATCTATACTAATAGCACATAAATTGAGTATGGAAGCCGTGCAGAGCCAGACGTCCACGGCTAGCCACATTTGGCACCATAGTTCGCCGAATATCCATATATCTAAAACTTCAAGAGTTATGGAATAGGGAAGAACAGCTAGACCTACCAATAGATCAGAAATGGCCAACGAAACGATTAAGAAATTGGTTACTGTTCGCAGCTTGGCGGAAGCGAATACCGCCATCACCACCAACAAGTTACCGCTGATGATGATAATGTTGATGAATCCGAGGATGATGATGGCTGATATATTTTTGGCATTGTTGATAAGTTCCTCCCGGAACCATGAGGGACACTCACCATTTTCAGCCGACATGATTTGTTCCATGAATCGGGTCCTAACAATAAATAAACACCCTATAGACTAGAATAGTTATACTAAGTTCGAAGAAGAAGAATGTTTGGCATTTCTCCGGTTTCGGACAATGCGCTTTCATATTCATTACATCTTCTAGACACAGAACATGGAAATATACAAAAGGTGGCGACATACATAAAAACAATTGTCAATTAAGAGAATATGAAAGAGCATCGGTATTTATTTTTAAGTACAAGTCATTCGCTTAGTTTGTGGATCCAATGTCCTGGTCCCTGCTATCCCGAATCTAATGTCCGTCCAATCCAGCATATCAGTTCCATTGTTATCATCTTTCCTTGTTTCATTCAACTTCACTTCATTGAATATTTCTGAAAATAAAAGAAAGAGATAGAACTTAAACTTTATAGCATATTCTGGGTCACCGCTCAAATCTGGAAGAAGAAAAAATTCCCTGTGATTTCCTTGCACATATTTTACACAATATATTAAGAGGAAAAACTCTGCTATTGCGTGAGTTGTACTGTTCTAACTATACTAGTTTTAATTGCTGGCAAAAATTTTGAGTAATAAAGGAACAGCTGAACATACTTAAAACAAATAATGCTATAATAAATATCATCCTTAAATATCCTACAGATTGCACTTTGAGTAGTTACCATTTCTTAAGAAAGACGAAAATACGAAACAAAATTCCCTATATTTTCCCAGTTTCTTAAGAAAAACTCCACATTCCCTGTTATTTTAGGCGATTTTTTTTAATTCCCTTTATTATCCAGGTTTTCTCTGTGGAGTGGAAACCCTGATATTACTGTGCTATTTATTTTTATTGAATTACGAGCAGTTACTAATTAAATTCAGAAATTAAATACAATCGTATACGTTGCAACATGGTTCGCAACTCATTTAAATAAGAAACATACGGTGTTTTTTAGCATTGATAAGTACAGTGATAGAATAAGTACTCAAAAGAATAAAGTAAGTACTCACACAGTGTAAATTATCGATATCTAAATTTAATTTAGAAAGTTACAATAAACAAGTCTGTGATTGGTTAAAAATATAAATTTATCCAAATGGAGTAGAAACATTTTCTGCGGAGTTAACATGGAGGGCATTTCCAGGCTATTTTTCCCCAGGCAGAATCTTAAAATTAGAGGTATGAATTATTTTTCTTTTTGGCATTTGATATTAACTAATAATTTGAAAACATATTGACATTTGATGTTAACTATATTAACATATAGTTAATATCAAATGTTAATATCATATATTTGATATTAACACATAAGCACTTGATATTAACTATAATTTGAAAAACTAGTATTAAATGTTCATAAATTTTGTGTCCCGCAGTGGACTTATCGTAAAGACACGGTTTCCAGTAGAACACTGAAGTCAATGACTGCGGTCAGTAAACGTCACAGCCCGTTTTAAAGGGAGGACCCAATCATACTCCCCAGATCGTAATCCTCAGAATCATCCACAGATCGTAATTTTGACTAGGGCCTGATATAGAAATGCGGGGGTCAGGCACAGAACTGTGGGCGGCCCATGTTCATACTTTAAAAAAAAATGACTTGTTGTTTATTTATGAAATGCCTTTAAATTATTTATAACATACGTAAATTACGATATTTTAGTAGATTTGAGATTATATTCATTAAAATTTTTGATAATTCATTATTTTAATTGGACAATTCTTAAGGAAAAGGTAAAAAAAATATATATATATATATGTATCAATAAAGGGGCCCTAAGTCATGTTTAAACTTGACATAGAAAAAAAAAACAATTTTAAACTTGTTTCTGATTATAAAAGGAGCGTCATTTCTTTAAAATACTCATAGATTTCAAGAAAGAAGCACTCATTATTTTTAAGAAGCAATATTTAGCCCAGACAATGCTACGTTATGAGCATATATAAAAAAATAAAGGAGGCCGTTTTGCAAATTTTTTATAATTTTTTGCATTGAGATTTATATTTGAAACTTGTTTCAGATTACAAAGTAAGCTTCAAATCTTTCAAAAATACCCATAGATGCGAAAAAATAAATATCCAAAATTTTAAACAAGCATATGTTTAGTCAAAATCAGGCTACATGAAGATCATTAATATCGTGAACATAATTAAGGATATATTGCGAATTTTTTTATAATATTTTGCGGAAATGAGGAGATTATTTAAAGGGGATTTCACGAAAAATAGTCCTGAGAATATTCAAAATTTTCGTAAAATNATTTAATATATATATATGTATATATATATATGCATATGTTTAGTCAAAGTTACATGAGATGTTACATGAAGTACATTTAGTTACATGAAGATCATTAATATCGCGATGTTAAAGATATATTGCGAATTTTTTTATAATATTTTGCGGAAATGAGGAGCTTATTTAAAGGGGATTTCACGAAAAATAGTCCTGAGAATATTCAAAATTTTCGTAAAATTAAAAATAAAATTTTAGAATCTAGAAAATGTACATTTTTCAATAGTTATGCTTTTTAAAATTATGAGAAATGTTTCGTTCAATTCTAACAAAAGGTGCAAAACACTGAACTTTAACACTGGTTCTCTATAATGTTACGTTATATTCCTATGGAGTTTTGAAAATAATGAATAGCAATAAAGTAGTTTTTAATATTATATATAACTATTTCATCCTTTTAGCTTTGTTTTATATATATTTTTAATTTGGCCTACATTTTTGTAATGAATTATGGTTGAATTATGAGTAAAGTATGAATAAAGTTTTAATGAGAGCTAATTTCTCAGTAACTCATTTAACATAATTTTAAAATTTTTTCCGTAAAAACTTTAGTAAAATTGAAAATTTTACATTTTTGTTTTGTTTTATAATTTGGGAAGGCAAGATATTCAACGGAAAAATTAATTTTATTCAAGTTTTAGAATGTTACATGTTGGGTGTGTAAAAAGTACTTTTACGTTTTATATAATAACTTTTTCCCCAAATGAAAAATTGAAATTATGCCAGGACATTTTTTATAACCACCGCACAACGTTAACGCCAAAATCACAATTAAAGAATTTTATGATTGCCTTTTTGTAAAATCAGGCCGGTATAAGCATTAATAAAAAAGCAGTATAATAAGAAGATAATTTTGGAACTTCTCGGAGTAAATCGTTTTCCCCAACTTTTATATGTTATTTTTCTATCTTTAAGTGGAATTTTTATCTGGAATTGCTAAATAATTCAATTTGAATAAGTCTAAGAAAGTATCAGAAACTTGTTCCAGTTTACGAAGTGAGCATCAATGTTTTCAAAAATACCCAATCCTCCAATTCCAATACCAATGTGTCAAGAAATATGTAATCAAAAGTTTTAAGACGGATTTGTTTATTCCAAACAATGACGTATTAAGAGCATATGTATAATTTACGATTTTTTAAAAAATTTTTTGCAATAAAGAATTTATCAATTGATTAAGATTAAAAAAAATGAGCGGAAATTCTTTCAAAAATACCGGAAAAGTCAAATAATATGCATACGTAGCATGGCTTTTACTCAGCGTGAATTGGACTAAACAAATGCTTCTTAAAAATTCTGGGTACTTATTTCTTCACAACAATGGGTACATATTTGAAAAATTTGACGCCTACTTTGCAAACTGAAATAAATTTCAAATGAATTTCTCATTTTCAAAAATTTTTAAACAAATTCTTAAAATGTCCTCCAATACGTTAACTATAAATATGCTCTTAACGTAGTATTGTTTGGAGTAAACAATTTCATCTTAAAAATTTTGATTACTTATTTCTGGACACATATGGGTAATTTTGAAAGAATTGACGCTCATTTTGTAATCTGAAGAAAAAATATTTCAAATGATTTTCTCGCTGCAAAATTTTTTAAAATATTCGCAAAATAAACTCCATTATGTTAACCTATATAATGCTCTTTTCATAACATGGTTTGGACTGAACAAATGCTTCTTAAAAATTTTGGGTATTTATTTCTTCCATCTATGTACATTTTAGAAAAAAGTGACAATCACTTTGAAATCTGAACTAAGTTTCAAATGCAAAAAATTATAAAAATTTACAGAGTTTTTTCTATTACGTTAACCATATATGCTCTTAAAAATATGCTCTTAACGTGGCATGGTCAAGATAGTGTCTAAGGTTTAAAAAATTCGCATATTTGTGAAGAAATAAATACACAAAATTTTTAAGAAGCATTTGTTTAGTCCAAACTATGTTATGTAAAGAGCGTATATATATAGTTAACATAATGGAGTTTATTTTGCGAATATTTTAGAATTTTTAATTAAATGAAGTTAAACTATTAGAGAGTTATTTCATCTATAATGCAAACAATTCTTTTTTATATTAGCGAATATGAATTCGAATAAAGATTACATATATATTTAGTATCAAATTTAATCTGCCTGAATAGGACAAAACTAGGAAAATTTGCCAACAGCTATTTGCAGCATTTTCAACGGTGACCGCTTTTTTAAAAAGTTTAAACTGTTAGAAAAACTGTCTACAAATTATTTATGTTATGCTTTTGTAATTTAAGACTTCTCAAAATATGGTAAAACATAAAAAGATTCATTTGTAAAATGAAGAAAGTTTTAAGAAACAAACTTGAAATTAAAATTTCAGAATATTATACAATATTCATAATTACATTTTTATTAAAAAAATAATAATAAAATGCACATTTGATGGACAAAAAATAAGGTGATCATATGAAGACTGGCAGATAATTCACCATTTGTTATATTTTGTCGCCCTGTTGGACCGTATATTTTGTCATGCATTTACATGAATACGTAAATGAATAAAAAATATAATAATGAATAAATTTAACGCTAGTTTCCTACTTTGGCAATAAAATATTTTTATGAGAGTAAATTATTTTTTTAACTATATATAAAAATCTAATGGCGATTTCGCAGTTCTCCATTGTTGTAGGTGCATTTTTATTGGCCGGAAAATCACGTGGTAAGATCCAGTTTTCCTACATCCATTTCAATATTGGTTTGGTTGTCATCAGCATAAAATTGCTATAATTCATAAAGGTATCGTTTTCCTGTTAATATTTCTGTATCCTTAATTGGGTATACTATAGCATACGTCACAGATCGTGTTATTCCAACTAAATTTAACTAGTAAGCAGCATTTTCTGCGAACCTGATTTCTAGCAACAAGTAAAAGCATCAAACGAAGTGTCTTGTTTATAAGTCGCTACTCGCCAAGTTGGAATTGTATTAATCTAGTTCCTTTGGAAATAATTTATATTGTTGTTTTATCGAAGTTTATGAATTTAGTAAACATATTTAAAACTCAGTTTATTAATTAAACTAAAAGGTATATGTTATTCCTAGTAAGTGGAAGTAGTTGTGCTTTTTTCATATTATACCCAATTTAGAGGTATTTACCTGTATTCTTATACTACGTTTTTAATTTTGTTTGTTTTCTAAATTAAGAGTTTAAGAGAAATATTATTATTATTATTAGAATAACGTAATTCTACGTTACATTTTAAGATAAAGTTATTCAAATGGGTGTCCAATCTTATTGACTATTTTAAAATTATTGTATTTTGGTGCAAATTACATTAATGAACTATTATGAATTACGATTAAAGAGATTCGTTAAATGATTTAGAATTTAACTTTTAGCTTCACGCACGAAGTGAGGGGTGCGAACATTGTATTTTAAAAAGTATCCGTCCTTTTGGTAAGCAAACATATTAAATTACAGTTGTGAATTCTCTAAATTTGTTACAACGATATACTTTTAATTATAAATGTTATTTCAAAAAATGATTTATGTCCATTAATAGAATATTTGGACGTGGGATGTGGTGGCACAAGTGTTCTTTTTAGTACATATATGTTTAATTGAATAATTTCAACTGTTTGGCGCCAAGAAACAATAATTACTGCGAAGCAATAACTTGGGTTGGCGTGCGAACTGGGGGCTTAGCCCCCTAGTATTAAAAAAAATGTTATGAAAGCATAAATAAAAGGATGCAAATAATAACTATCGGATTTAATAAACATCGATACATTGATAAAGAAAACTTAGTGTTTAATAAATTTAATTTTACTAGAATTAAAGTTTCATTAATTAATATTTTTTTCATCAAAGAGAATACGTTCTAAAATAAATACAAACAAGTTTAACACCAGATTTAATTTGATTTTCTCTCGATATATATATATATATTTCGCAGATAAAAAAAACCTTACCTTTAAAACATCAATAATGCAATAGATATTCTTACAAAGTATTTATCGGCGTTTGTGTAAAGATGCTGACCAAAATCACATGGAACACAAAACTCGACGCGTCGAACTAAGTCGAGATTCTTCATCGTCATGACGAAATGGGCGCGAAATATATTTCGAGAAGGGATTGCCATGGGAACCGTTTTGTTTTGGAAAAAAGGGGGTGATGCCTTTTTCTTTCAGCTGACGCGATTTCTTAGATTGGTTAAAAGGGATTTCCTTCGTTCATTTGTAGCACTTCTTCATTTAAAGAAGTGGTACAAATTGGAGCACTTATTTTCTATATAAGGCAAATAAGGTATCCAAAATCAAGGTTCCAACACCATCAATCTTTAGGGCCGGGCTACTTTTCAGATTCAATTTTATAGAAAATTTATTTATTTATTTATTTTGCTTACGTATGTATGTTACCGCTTAAACTTGGAAAATCCGTGAGATGAACTTTTCATTTCCATTAATATTTTAAAATGTTTCTTACTTTATATAAAAATATAATGATGGTGTCGCAGTTTTCCATTGTTGTGAATACATTTTTATTGGCTGGAAAAATCACATGGTAGGATCTAGTTTTCCCACACTAATTTTCATCTTATTTTGGTTATCATCAGCATAAAAATTGATATAAGTCATAAAATTATTGTTTTCCTATACATATTTTTGTTTCTCTAATTTGAAGGTTAAGATTACCTGTACTGTATTACCTGTATTGAAACGCAGAGCTATAAGCGATAAGCAGAGAGCTCGCCGCACTTACTCAATACTCAATACCTGTACTGTTATTACTGCGTTTTTGATTTATAAATTAAGAGTTTGGGATTATTGCTTTTATTATTATTATTATTAGAATATTGTAATTCTACGTTACATTTTAAGATAAAGTTGTATCTGTGTCTGATCTTATAAACCGTTATACAACTATTATTTTTTGGTGCAAATTACATTGATATACTAATATGAATAACGGTTAAGGAGGTTCGTTAAATGATTTGGAACTTAACTTTCAGCTTCATGCACTAAATGAGGAATGCAGAAATCGTATATTTAAGATGTATCATCCGTTTGATAAGGAATACTAAATTACAGTTGTGAACTGACCAAATTTGTTATAACACTATACTTTTAATTTTAAATGTTATTTCAAAAAAATGATTACTTCGAAAAACTATTTATGTTCACTAATAGATCTTAATAGGGAAACATTTGGAAGTGGTTCTTTTTAATATATGCTTAGTTGAATAATTGCAACTGTTTTATGCCAAGAAACAACAATTATTGCGAAGCAATCATCGGGGTTGGTGAGCGGTAGCGAACATGGGGCGCAACCCCCTTAGTATGCATGGAAAAGTGGAGTTCAGGTTGATCTTGAGTAAACCACGAAAATCTGAAACAAATGTTTTCAAAATGCAAACAAATGCTGAGGGCAGAGAGGTGAAATAATCCTCCCATAATTTGTTTGCATTTTGAAAACATTTGTTTCAGATTTTCGTGGTTTACTCAAGGTCTACCTGAACTCCACTTTTCTATACTTTAAAATACCAATAAGAGTGAAAGAGAATTTGTCATAAAAGGTTTCACACACTGTATAGCGTCCCATTAAAGAGTGGAATTGGGATTTCTTCACCTTTTACCTAGGTAATGTAGTACAGTGCGCAAAACAAAAATAAGACCAACCTAAATAACTTTTGATCTAATGATCGGAATTTAACGCTCTATTACTCAATTTTAATGGTTCAAGGGGGTGATTTCAAATATGCTAATTAATTAATGCAGACGTTAATTTAAGTTGCAAAATCATACACAAAAACGCACTCTCTCTGTATGAACATACCGTTTTTTCGATGGAATCGGATTTCTGACTCTCAAAATATAGGGGGCAGTCGCAATCTGAGAAATAAGGTCCTCATAGTTTGATCGGGAGTGCGATCCGAAGTTTGGACCATTCAATGTTAATTTTAGTTTTTGCGTATTTCGCAATATCTGGAGAACTTAAGTGAATTGAAAAACTTTTGCACACAGTTATAAAATTCGTTTATCCAAAGATAATTTCATGCAAAAAAATTAGTAAATATTTATTATATTTTATTATTTTATTTAATAATAGTCAAAAAAAATTTGAATTATAAGGTATACAGTTTTTACGTCATTTAAAAACATTAACATTAACAACATTTGAGCGAAATCGGTTGAACAGTTCCGAGAAATGAAATTTAAAAAAAAATCGTATATTTAAATATTAAATCGAATGCTATTCAGAGTAGTCCGCTACTTTTTGGCACACTGTACATTCCAGATCGTTAAAGCTTCGTTTTCCTAATAAAATTTTTCTTCTCTTTTATTTTGTTTCAACAGCGCGTATTTATTTCTCCAGCAAACATCTCCTTTTCCCTTTAAACGAGTGTCTAGTAAATAATTTGCAGATTAATGATATGCACATTAATAGGCAATGTGTGAATTACTAGGGTAATTTGAAAATTTTCTAGGTAATATGAGAAAAATAAGCTATTTTTGCCGTTCCAACGGATCAATATAGTTAATCTGCACAATCTGTTGAATAACGAATTTTTTCACTTTTGCAGTATCATGTATATGAAACAGGCAGGATTAGCGTATAACTGGATTTCAAATATTTTCTAAATTATTTGAGGTAAATGAAATTAAGAGCGAAATTGGGAGGAAAAATATACCAATTTTTTTCGTTACAAATGTTTAATATGTGCGAACTTTTTGTTACACAATAAAGCATCTTATCTGTAATAAAATTCGTTTGTTTCATATGCTGTTTTTCTTTTTTTTTGAAATAAGAGTTTTAATTGGCGATCGCAACTCTCGTATACGCCATCTGGGGAGAAGGCCGATACCATGCCTTTGGCCCTTCTCCCTTCCCTCTCTACCTCTTTTCAGTTGTATAGGAATATACTACGATATTTTTATGAAATGACTTAATATTTTTCGTTTTTAATTAATGAAGATATTTTTTAAAATTTCCATGATGCTTTCTTTTAGAGCTTTTTTTAATGTAGTTCCATATAGTTTCCCAACTTAAAAGATTTTAATCTAGATGAAAATCAAGACAGAAACTAAGATACTTCCTTCTTCTATGACTCTCCACATGCTAATGGTGAAAGCATGTGAAGTGTTGCCATAGGTAGAGAGTTCTGCTGCTCTACACCACCTGTAGCCCATTTAGATCGCCAGTAGTGAGTTTACATCAGCGCGGTCGTTTGCTAACTAACCAATCTCCTAACTGGGATTGTGGGGTTCATCTTGGATGCTCACCAGAGGGCTTTGCCTATTATTTAGTCAAGGCTCTCGTCCCGTCGGAGGCTTTGGGTCTTTTTAGTTCTCGTTCTAAGAAAGACTAGATGAAGTACCAGGAAAATGGAAAAGGGGCTTTCGATTTAGAACGATTTAATGCAGATTATACTCAGTGAGGGTGGTCTGATCACGAGTACGTGTATAAAGGAATGGATGTGATTACTAATTTAATGGAGCTACCTCTAAAATAATTTATGTTCTGGCCAAATGCGTTTCTTTAATTATAGTCGGCAATAAATGTTGATGTTTTGTTTTATAGAGTTTGTCTTATTTTGGCCATACCATCGAATTTAAGAAAAAAAAAGGTATCTTAACTGAAATTTAATAGTTACTTTGAAGATAAGTCATAATCCACAATACGCAGTGTTTTTGTTATCCATGGCTCCTCATCAATGCTATGAAAAGAAATCACAAGGTGTAAGGTTCGGATATCATGGTGGTCACATGATGAAACAGTTGATGCGCTCTTTCAAGAGACTATTTTATAAACTACCAATGTTGAAAGGACTTAAAGAAAAATTAGTGCACCGTCTATTTTCTAAATTGAAAATATCCCATTTTGTTATGGAAAATATTCGTTTTATAGGGAGAAGTAATTAATGCAAGCATTACTATTTTTTCTCATGTACATGTGTAATTTTTTCTATAATTTCTCGCTTTGTATAATTTTATTGGAGATATATTTTTTCATGTGACGTATTTGTTACATATGCAAATTATTTTTTTTAAGTAGTACATTTTAAACTAAAGTGCAGACAGTTTTATCAAAGTGCAAAAATCCATCACAAACCAATGCTTGCTTACCTTATTCTTCGTTTCTGAATGATATTTTTCTGGGAATGTTCACTTCATTGGAACGCACACATTTCAAACAGAACATTTTTTTTTATCCAAAAATAACCCTGCAAAACAAAATAGAAATTATTGAGAATGTCTTAACGAGAAATTAGCTAGCAATATTGTAAAGGGGTGGATCCTAGAATAGGCTACCCCATGGCGATTTTTTTAAATCTCACCAAGCCAGTTTTAGAATTCTTGCCAAACTAGGTTTCCGGAAGGTATTTTGGGGAGAATATTTTGAACGTCTGATCACACTACCAAAATTCTTAAATCTGATTGGTTATTTGATATGAAAAACTACGCGAAAGTTGGATTTCGTTAGAAAATGAGGTAAACTAGTTTATTTTTTCACCATTTATGCTTCTGATCTCTTGCTGTTAGAATCATCGCTATTATTTAATTTTTTAACCGTTATTTCATTTATTACATGTTTTAATTTTGCTGTACAGGTTAAAAATGGAGAGTGAATGGATAATTTAAATTGTTTTTTTATTCATTATAATCTAAAAGCAACGTTGATCCCAGTAATAATCGCCAACTTGGCGAGATTTAAAAAAAAACGCCAAAAGGTAGGCTATTCTAGGATTTTACCATTGTAAATAAATACTTTTTAACACAGTTCATGCAAACATACAAGAGGCGTTCTGAAGTAAGTAAGAATGGAAAGTATAATGATATATGCATAATCAGTACTGCAAATATAGAATATACGAGTACAGAAGTTCTGAAGTATTTGCTTTCTACAAGGAAGCGATATTAAAAACAAAAATTTGCTTCGAAGTACGAACGTATAGCTTCACACAGTTGCCATTAATACTGATGCATTTATTGTACCAAAAGATTAATATTGATCGATCTACCCACGGAGGAGTTTTCGAATAAGGGTTCGACCTGTCACCCCGTGAGAATCAAACAT